ATTTGGGTGCCGATATTTATCTTTTCCTCATCATTCCCTTCTCCCAAATTGATAGTTTCAGTTTCTTCTTCATGCGGTTGTATAATGCGCGCTTCTTTTTCCAACATTCTTTGCATGTCAGGGGAAATGGTCCCCTGCTCACTGTCGGACTAGACCCATTCGCCTTCGGCTTCTGGGGTCCACAGGGATTCATCAATCACATACATGATGTGTTTTAGGTTCTATTTTAGTCATAGATTTTATTATTCAATTATATTTGAAAGAATAATAAATAAAAGAGGGAAAAGAATGAAGGAAATGAATATGACAAGAAAATGCCTCATATATTAAGGAAAATGGAAGCGTATGTACAAGCCCTTTTAGTCAAAGTTCCCACGGGCGGGGTCCGCGGGAGATATAAATGAAAGCTTTTTTTTTTTTTTTTAAAAGAGCCCTAGGGGCTGATCCTCCTAGTCCTCCCTCCCTGCTATTCTGGATTTGACAGAGGCTTGGCATCCACATCAGAAGCAGAGGCATCAAAGGTTATCCACCCAGCGTCGATTAATTCTTGGACCCGATACTTCAGGGTCAAGCAATTTTCCGTTGAGTGCGCGGGTGAACCCGAGTGGTAATCGCACTTCTTGTTTGGTTTATACCACTCGGGGTAGGGAGGCTCTATTTGCTTCTTGGGAGGGACACAGGTCAAGAGCTTGGCCTCCAGTAGCTGAGGCTGCAATTTACCATAGGAAGTTAAGATGGGAGTGAACTTCCTTTCTTTCTAGCGAAAGAAAGAGTAGCGAAGTTAATTGCATGCACAACTTCATCACTGCTCCACTCTTTCCCTTACAGTGACTATGTCCGAAAAAAGATTGGAGGTACTGGCTATTGCTTTATCGTAGTAAGCTCCAGTCAGTGAATCTATGAACATAGCCACTGTCTCCTTATCCGTCAACGGAGGCTCTATTTGGGCAGCCATTTCCCTCCACCTTTGGGTGTACGCTTTGAAGGATTCGTCATTCCTTTTGCTTAGGATCCTAAGATCTGACGTGTCGAGGGTCAGATCGATGTTGTATCAGTAACGATGGAGAAAAGCGTCAGCCGGCTGTTTCCAGTTTTGGACCTGGCCTCTTTCCAACTGCATGTACCAGTTGAGAGTCGTGTCAGCCAGACTCTCCTGGAAGCAGTGGATCAGGAGTTTCTCATTCTCAGCATGTGCGGTCATCTTACGACAATACATCGTAAGATGGTTCTTGGGACAGGTCAGCCCGGCGTACTTGGGGAAGTCCAGGATTTTGAATTTTGGAGGGAAATGGATATTTTTCACTAGGCACATATCTGCCACCTCTTTGACGTCAAAATTATGCCCTTCCACTGCCTTTAGTCTCTCCTCTAGGGCGGAGATTTGATGTTTGGACACTTTCGGAGTGTGGATGTGTGTGGTCCGAGCGTCGGACTGGAGATGTGCCTTCTGATTGAAGAGGAATTCCTCTTCTTCTTCTTCTTTTTGGCGGGAGGCGTGCTCGGCCTGGGCCTCGCCTTTGTTTTGGCCTTGGCGCATGGCCTCCATTAGTTGCGCCATCTACTCCCTGAGGGTGTTAACCTCTGCAATGAGATTACGATTCTGTTCTTCTAGATTTTCCATAGCTCTGGCCTTCTGTGCACGGTTTCGGACGGGGAGAGGACAAACCGCTTTCTAGAATGCCCAAAAGAAGTTTATTGATGAATGTTGAGTGTGAGACTAGTATGGATATGTTTATGTATGAGAGATTCTGTTTAGATGATGCTAATGCGCTCTTTCCTTTTATTTTCTCTCTTGGTTTTCTCCACTCATTGTATGATGCGACATGAATGTTTTGACTTTGTCAGAAATCATTTTATTTATTTTGTTTTTTAGAGCCTTTTATCTCTTCTGTCAGACTGCGTGGCTACTTAGCTTGCAAAGAACCTAAAACCAGGCTAGCTAAAAGACAGACTGTCCGAGATAAAATGGTTTATTACGAAAGAATAATACTAGCGTCCCTTATCTCTTCTATCGGACTGCGTGGCTACTTAGCTTACAAAGAACCTGAAACCAGGCTAGCTAAAAGGTAGACTGTCCGAGATAAGGGTGTTTATTGTAAAAGATATATTTTTGTTTTTTGTTGTCTGTTGTTTGGTTATGCTACGCAATCAAATGCAACAAACAAATGCACATACAATTCACTCATCCGCGAACAGGCAAGAAGTCGCTTTAATCACGAGGTAAGGTTTTCCTGTAGAAAAGTGCATTGGCAAGGGTGGGTTCTAACTGTTCTCACCAAGGCTTAGGCCCCTAATGTGCCCCCATTATAGGGTCCCCACTCTCCAGCCTTCCGATCATGCTTAGCACTAAGGCCATAGTCAGTCTTTGTGCCAAAAGAGGAAGGTTATCACCTTGAGTGGTGGTTTCCGATCACACCGGTGGGCTCAGGGCCATCATTACGACGAACCGTACCTGCCACCCACTCCCTATGTATTTCTCTCTTGCCCCCAGGTATAGAGGGAACTATTGTGTGCAAAGGCTTGTGTACAGTTTTTATTTCAAACAATTGCGTAAAATAAACAAACAACAGTTACTAAAGCCAAGTAATTAAAACATGTTATAATACAAGGTAGGGTAAAAGCTAAATTTCTTAGTTTATTTATTAAACTGACCCATCACTAAATGGGATCAACTCTCTAGGCTTCCCCAGTGGAGTCGCCATCTGTCGTCGCGGTCAAAAAGAGGCGGTCGGAGCGACGCGATGGTTCTGAATTTCCATTTTTTGCGTTTTTATGGGTGAGGTTACAACGCCTTTAGGTTGTCCGATAACCGAGTTGAACTAAGAACGAGTTTGAAAGGGTTCTTATGGAGTCGCCACCGATGTTTTTACTGGAAACATCGAAAAAGGAAAGAAAAGGCATTGGTTTTTCGAAAACCAACTTTGGTCGTTAAAACCAGAGTTGGGTAAGGGAGTTAGTTACGTGTAAGGCAAGTGTTAGTTCCCTTATGATTCCATTTCGGGTTCCCTATGATAGGCCAATTATTTTATAGATAAACTTTTGGAAAAGATGCTTTTACCCTTTTTATTTGCGGAATCAAAATAACGACTACATGACCCTAATAACTATTACGCAATTTAATAAAAATAAAAGACAGTAAAAGAGAGGGAGAGAGTGAAGAAACCTCTGAGGCAAGCTTGTTGATTAATTCTCTTGAAAATAGGGTGCATTTTGGCAGCCCTTCGCTCTTACAACGCCGAAAATCGCTCTCGAAACGCTATAAAAAAACTCTCTAAGACACTCATAAACTCCGAAAATGCTTCGGAGGGGCTCTAGGAAGAGAATTTGAAGAAAGTGTAGAAGGGAAAGTGGAAGAACCGTGTGAAATGGGAGGGGGGAATGCTCACTATTTATAGGGATTCGCGCCTGTCAGGTCGAGACAGCGATCTCAACTGGCAAGGTCAATACGGCGGTCTCGCCATTCGAGACGGCGGTCTCAACTTGCATCAATGGCGAGACGGCGGTCTCGACTTTGCCGAGTGACGAGAAGGCCTTCTCGCCAAACAGGAGGGGGGTCTCACCATGGGCAAGTGGCGAGACGGTCGTCTCGCCAAACGAGATCGCGGTCTCGACTTGCCCTTCAGCGAGATGGCGGTCCCGAAAAGCGAGATGGCGGTCTCGACTCCTAAAGGCGAAAATCCTTATTTTTGTACAGAAAATCCTTCCTACTCTAATATGGGGCCTAATAGTCTCTCCTAGTGGCTTTTTAGGCTTCGTCCATCTTCGAATAGGAGGTCTTCTGCTCTTATTTTGAGGTCGGGCAAGATTTGGGGTCTACATTCATCAATTTTAAATGATAATTGCTAATATGTATCCTTGATCAATGCAAACAAATTGAAAAAAATAATCAAACAAATCAATCCTTCCACTAACCATGTTACATGTTACATTTATTGCCCCCAATCCTCACTGAATACAGGGCATCCATAGCCCGCTAATCAATCATTATTTTAAATTCAATATAGAAAAGTCAAAGGTAATTACTTACCTACTAACAAAGATCTTCAAATTGGATGAGCAACTACTTCTTTCCCTTTATCCTTCTATCTTTTGTGAAACTTCAATATCAACAATCTCTGCATTTTAGAAAGCTCCCATCAATTTGATAACAAAAATTTAAAATTAATTGCTAATAATATTAATAGTTATGGAAAATAATATAACCCAAAATTTATTACGGAAAAAGAAAAGAAAATTATAAAGGATCTGATGTCCAAATAACCTAAATCAAGGTTCAGTGTCTACAACCCTAAATCAAAACGCGGAGCCTAATATACCTCAAAACATAATCCAAACAATGTACACAAATGAAAGCCATGTACACTAATGAAAGCCTTAGAATAAACACTATGAGACCAGGAAAAATAATTTATTCATCAAAACCAGGCTTTGAATGAAAATTCGGTAGTATAACGACATAACTTTAAGACCCACGGTCTTGATATCCAGGTACAAGTCATATTTTCACAGCACAATTGTAAGAATTGGCAAGAACAACGAACATCACAACTAGGATATACTACAGAATAAACTTTGGATGAAAATCAATATCCCTATTTGAAATTACACAACACATCAAAACCCAAGCACAACTATACTGAAATTACCAGACAACTCAATCCACAATCAGGCAAACGGAATAAGGCCAAACATGCAAAAATGAAACCCTAAACAAAATCCAATAGACCCCAATCAGAAGCCGAAAATGTCTAGCATGGTCCCAATCAACCAGATTACTCCATCAAAAATAAAAAAATAAAAACAAAAAGACCCTACAAATTGGATCCCTGACAAGATGGCTTGCAGCCGAGGCGATTGAGGTTCGCGACAGCGATATGTGAATAAGGCTGAGACTTGACGGCCACTGGTGGCAGAGGACTTGCAGTGGCTGGCACGGTGGTTTAGGGCTTTATGTTGGTGAGTTCGATTTGGGGTTCTTATGAGGGTATGGAAAAGTGGAGATGCAAAGGAGGAGAAATGTTGGGATGAAGATGGCTGGTTCCAATGAGACTTGGTGGCATGGGGTGGCTATGGGGCAAGGCGAGCGTAATGGGTTGCAGTGAGGGTGGTTCTAGGGTGGCTTCGAGCTCACCTCAGTGGTGGCTAGTTAGGGTGGAGGCCCAGTGGTGAGCAAGGCGTGGAGGAGGTTAGCGACGCCTAGGGTGGAGGCTACCGGTGCGGCTAAAGCCCATGATGGCTGGCTGCATGGGTTTGGGAAAACAGTGGTTCACAGTAGTGGCTAGAGGTGTCAACGGTGGAGGCATGGGCGGTGAGACGGTTGAGTGAGGGCAGCGGTGATGGAGGATCGGGGTGAGTTGGTGGTGGTGAAACGTAGAGAAAATGGGGGATGAAGGAGGTGGTAGTGCGGGTTGGTCCGGCCGCAACTCTGGTGAATGGGGGCTGGACGACTGAAGGCGTGGTGGGTCATGGTGGAGGCTTGGCCGGTGACTGGGATTCTGGTGATGTGTAGCTCTGGGGGGGTGAGGCTGGTAAGTGAAATGGGTTGAGGCTAAGGCGTCCACATGAATTGGGAGTCTGGTGATGGGTAGGTCAAAGATTATTTTTGGGTGTTGACATTTTTTTTTAATTACACATTCGTAGGTAAATGAGTAAAAGTATTACCTACCTCCTACATCCGTAGGTAATGCATAATCATCTCATCCGTAGGTAAATTCCATAGGTAATGGATAATATACATACAAATAAAATTCCATAGATGATATTCGTATGTAATGTATATTTTACCTACGGATTTTTATCCGTAGGTGATATTTTGTAGATAATACCCATTTTTTTATAGTGTTACTTAAAAGAGAGAAAACAACGGACATGATTAGGCATAGTAATATTTAATTAAGAAGTTACTTTGGTTAAATTTTGTATGATTAATCTAAATTTTTTTTCTTTTAATTAAGAAGTTACTTTGATTAGTTGTGAGGACGTCTATCGGCACCGTCAAAAGAGGCGGTCGAAGCAACGTGATGGTTTTGTTCGACTCATGTTTTTAAAAAGTGTGGTACAACACCTTTAGGTTGTCCAATAATCGGGCTCGACCTAAAGGTGAGGTTTTCGAAAGGTTCGAGGAGTCGCCACCAATGTTTTTACCGAAAACATTGGAAAAGGAAAAAAAGAAGGCATTGGTTTAGAAAAACAAACTTTGGCCATTACAACCAAAGTCGGGTAAGGGAGTTAGTTACGTGTAGGGAAAGTATTAGCTTCCCTACGATGCCCCTTTCGGGTTCCCTATGATGGACTATTTATATAAAAAAATAACTATAAATTGTGCTTTTACCCTTATTTATTTATTGCGGAGATTAAATTATTGACTACATGACCCTAAATGATTAATGCACAACAATACTATCTAAAAAGAAATAAAGTAGAGAAGAGAGTATATAGGAACCTTCGAAGCAAACTTTTATAGTAAGTTCTTTGAAAGAGGGTGCTTTTTGGCAATCCCCATGCTCTACAATGTTGATCGCTCTTCCTCACAACACTACATAACGCTTTCTAAGAACACTAAGAAACTCTGGAAATGCTACAGAGGGGTCATAGGAGAGTAATTCAAAAGAAGTGCAGAAGGGAAAGTGGTAGAATCCTGTGAAAAGAGTGAGAAATACCCCCCCCCCCTTTTATAGGAATTCGCACCTATTAGGTTGGGACTGCCGTCTCGCCAAACAAGATGGCGGTCTCGCCCTTAGCCAACAACGAGACGGCGGTGTCGCCAAACGAGACTGCGGTCTTGGCCCTTTAGGTGGAATTTTTTATTTTTCGTGTACAAAAATTCTTCTTATTCTAATATGGGG